CCCTCCTCCCTCCTCCCTTCTTTACTCCCTCCCTCCCTCCCTTGTCTCCTTGTTTCTCTCCTTCCTTTTTCTCTCTCTTTCCCTCACCTTCTTCTCTTTCAAGTCATGGCTTACACACTTACATGTAGTACAAAAGATTTAGTAGAAGAACTAAATATGTAGCATATGATAAACTCCGGGGCTGGATGCTTGTGTATTCCTGGGGAGATGTAAAGAAATATATACTTACCCCAGATGGAGAGAGAAGCTACAGACCAAAGAAATGGTTTCATCTTAGTTTCATTTACTGAACCAATGAGTTTTTCAGGGTTATTTACAGGAGGGTCCATGGGTGACTCAGGCAGCTCACTACTAGGAAATTCCACATGCCAGCAAAGCTGAGTCTTACACATTGGTACCACTGAAGAACCCTAACATACATTCAGCCTTCTACCTCTTGTATATTCTACCAACCCAAAGACCACATGACACCTGGACTCTCTGGTGGAAATCTCAGGACTGCCAAGTCTCCCAGGATGGAACATTAGCAGTCACGTCACCAGCTCCATAGACCTAGCGATCAGCTGTATAGCTTGTATTTTGCTTCTAGGACTTCAGGTCAAGTTCATCAGTAGTTCACCACAGCGACATTATTTCATGATGGTCATGGTTGTTTCTACACCAGAAAAACAGTTCCACTGCACGTGGTTGTATTTTGATGCCATTTTTATATATGAGTGAAATTTGTGACTGAAATGGAAAACCTGCATAGTGTTTCCAGAGTATATAATTATTGACATATGCTGATGATGTTTTATAAATGAAAGAACATAGTCTTGTGGAAATTGAAGGTATCTATTTGAAAATGGGAAAGTCAAAAGCTTGTTTTGGTACCCCTTACCTAACTTGCACCTAATGTTTTTTATAAAGTCAAATTAAGGATTAGAGTCTACATAATTCTGTGCTGTGTAGGTTAGATACCACCAAATCATGCGCATAAAAATTATATTGCATAAGAAGGAAAAGTTCCTATGTACTCTTTCTTCTGTTCACTACGCCATATCCATGACAATAATTAAGCTGCTTAACCTTAAATGTGAGGATACTGTAGTATATTTTTGCAAGAAAAAAGTTGGAAATAATTCTATAGAAAATTAAATGAAAATTGGATTCTGACATTGACCTTGAATACCACCACTTTTGCTATTGCAGTAGGGTAAGGTTATTGGAGGAAGAGGTGTAGAAGCAGAAATAAGACCAAAATTGCTACACATAGGCAGTCTTTGTATATACCTTATGATTTCCCCATAGGAAGAAAAACAGTTTTATTTATACCATCCCAGTATCAATAGATCATATATTTTCTCCTTAATATTTTATTTATTATTTTCATTTTATGCATATGAGTATATTGCCTGCATATATGTAAGTGCACCAGCATTGTGCACTCTCTTCTGAGGTCAGAAGAGAGTGTTGGATGCCCCTGGAACTGGAATTACAAATGGTTGTTAGCTACCGTGTGGGTGCTGAAATTCAAACCTGGGTCCTCTGCCAGAGTAGCCAGTGCTCTTAACTGCTGAGCCATCTCTCCAGTATTATTTTTATTACCAGATATTAATTAAAATTTTTAACTTAAAATGACTTAATGTTGAATTATAAAATAAACCATGAAATATCTCAAGTTGAATACCTATTTCAGAATAAATTAGTCAAAAAATTAATTCCTTAAAACTACTCATTTTCTTTCCAATGCCTAATAAAATGATAAAAAATAATGATCTTAAAGTCTCAATTAATCCATTCTTGGTACATTAATTCTTAGCCTTTAACTCTAGATTTTGGGTCACTTTTCCATAGTAATGAAGTTCTTGGAGACAAGATAATTAGATCTTGTTTCAAAATCCATTATCTAGTTTATATATTTTGTTTGGTGAGTTGAGGTTCTGTGCATTTAAGGTGTTAGTGAGGCGTTACTGCCATTTTCTGCAGTTTTGTTGGTGGTTGCTCATACTGGTTGCAGTGTTGGTAGTTATTCTCTTCTTCCACCATTACTTTGTTTGGTTGACATACTGCATCAGACCTGATGGATTCCTTTTCAGCACCCTTTGTTTATCGAGTGCTCTCATGAGATGTATTCTTTTCTGTGGTTCTGTGTATGAACTGCTGGGTTACTTTCAGGGCTTTCAATTTCTCATACCTTGCTTGCTGCTTTTAGGGTTGCTGATGAGAAGTCATACATGATTCTGATGTATTTGCCTTTGTTGTTGAGTGGAGGTTTTTCCTTCATAGCTTTTACTATTGTTTCTTTGCTTTCTATTTTTGACCTCTTGACTTCAATATGTCATGGAGAGGTTCTTCTCTGGTAACCCATGTTTAATCTAAATGCCTCTTACATTTGAATGTCTGTTTCTTTTTCTAGGTTTGGGAAATTTTCCGTTACACTCTCCTTGAATAAATGATCTATGACTTTGGACTGCATCTCATTCTGTTCTTTTACCCTATGATTCTTAAGTTTTGTCTACTGACTATGTCCCAGCGTTCTTAGAAGGTTTTGTCATGCTCATTAATTTTTCTTTTCCATATGTGCTGAGTGAGTTATTTTTCTGAACATCTTCTGCATCCTTGAAGTTCACTCTTCTGTGTGGTCTTGTTTGATGCTGATGGTTTTCACTGTAGTTTTTGTTTGATTGATGGAGTCTTTTATTTGCATCATGTTTGCTTGGTTGTTGATCAGTTTCAATTTCCTTGCTTTATTTTCCTAAAAAGTTTTAAAGTTTTGCTCCAAGTTATTGAATGCTGTCTTCCCTGTCCTGAATTGATTCCTTCCTTCATTCTCTGCTTC